TGCAACCGACAAGGACGTAGTTCGTCCGTCCCGTCTTTCCCCCGTGTTGTTAGTTTCGTCCCACGGGAAGAGAAGTCGGACTGAGTCCCGAATATCATCATGTAGAACTACGATACAACGCCGGTAGCCTAACGTGAGTGGCCCGGTTTCTTCCAAAGCCCCTCGTAATCTCGAATGCTGTAGGTTGCAACGTAGCGTTTTCTGAGCCTTGCCAGCTGGTTCTTTTCAAGGGTCGGACCACAGCCCGACTACTACGTTACAACCTTGGGTTAACCAAAGACAAGCAGGGGGGGAATGAGCATGAGGACCGACCGGGGGTTGACAGTTCTCCGAGCCAGAGAGAGTCCGGTACAACAACCAGACGTTTAAGACGAGAGGTAATAGTTTTCTACCTCTTCTCTTTTCAAGCCCCGGGGCGTGTCTCGAAATGGAAGAAGTCCAGATCTAGAACCTCGCTCTATACCTGCTCATCTATAGGCATCGACGCTCGTGTGAGTTGCCTAGTTCATGGATACGTCTCCATTACCGAGCAACTTCACGGTGGGATAGGCGTGGTTACATTCTAGTGCTAACTATCATTCATCTATTGTCTCTACCCAACCTCCGCCGAGCCCGCCCGCAACTGGCAGTCGAAGGTTGTCACGGATGAAATCGGCTGGAGAGACATGGGGGAGCCCGCACCCACTAGAACCTGGCAATAGGGGGTAATCGGCGGCCGCAGCAGGAGCAGAAGAATAGCTCCTCCTTGGCGCTCAGCGCTTGGCCTCTGCACGTCACCATTGAGCGTTATCACGAGCGTTCACCAGGTCGGTTCGTGTTAACGGTTGGTTACCATCGAACTACGGCTCCGCTACCGGAGCCGATAGCGTACCCCCTTGAGCGAAACATGCAGGCCTGACTACGAACGCGACGAACTGTGTACACTCAAAAGAGAGTACCATGAAACATGCTCGCGTCTCAGACTATTACCGCTATCGTAAGGAACAGTGAGCACGTTCGATTGATGAAGATTGGAGGGGTTGTCACACACACACACACACACACACACACGCACACACACACACACACGCCCAAAAGGGAGAAGGAAAAAGGAGAAGGAAAAAGGAAGGAGGAAAATCAGAAGGGGATCTCATCCACCCCACGGGGAGGAGGCGAGTTGCGATAGGTGCCACGATGTTGGGGGTCAACGGGGGCTCTGGAATGTTCGGCCATCCAGATCATGCCGTGGGACATGTTTCGGCGCTGCTGTTTGTCTGTTCTGGTTCGGCAGTCCATTGGCTCGCTGCGAACTGTCTGTTGTCATACGAATACAGATTGCGACGACGACTGGCACCACGTATGAGGAGCACCAACAACGCTGTGCGAAGCGTACAATGACGAAGGGCAGGGGAGGGCAGGGGGGCCGCGTCAGGAGAAGCCCAAGGCAAGCGATTCGCCAAGCAGCATCTCGAAACAAAGCATCCGCAGCCTACCATTGCCAGATGTTGGGGAAACACGGCTTCGGCTTCGGCGTCGTCACGTCGTCGACTCGTCACGTCGTACCGCCCTTGCAGCTGGCTGCAGCGAGCCATAGCGGTCCCAATGCTACCTACTGTTTGCCCTGCGATTTGTCCTTAGGCTCGCCCAGCCCAGCTGTCGGGCTCAGGAGGTTCTTCGGCGTCGCCGCGCGAATAAAAAGGACTCGTCAAGTCATGGAACGCGGAAAGAAGGTCCATTGAGCCGAGAGAAAAAAGGGACCCCGTGTGTGGCGTTCTGGAGACCCCACACACAGCCAAGCCATGGCGGAGCACCTTTTTGCGGGTTGTGAGTGTGTGTGCGTGTTTCATGATCGTGGTGTCTGTGGGCTGTGCCTTTGCTGGTGTTTGTGTGCGCAAGCGCCTGCAGAACTTGCAGCGCGGCACAGAGCTGATTGACATGGGCACGGCGTAGGCCGGCCGAGGGACGCTCGAAAGATGACGCCCGTTTGGGGCTGTGAGGCGAAGCTCCTGGGTCTCCCTTCTGGCGACCAAGTGCATTACAACTACACACTACACGCCCTTTGCTTGCTTTTGACGCTCGGTGCGTTTTACGATCTGGCTTGCATCTTCGCAACGAACAAGGAAACGACGTTGTTCTCGGGATACTCTGCCAGGTGGTATCTCAGCTGGAGTATGGCCGCTCCCCCAGATCCGGAGTGGAAGATTCTAGACAAGGCACTGGCTTTATTTCGACCACCGGTGGCTTGACTCCGGAGGGCAGGCAAATCTTGACCCCGACGTGTGTGGCTTGGCCGGATCTCATCGGCCCCCAGATCCATACTACTACCAAATTGTACCACTGGGAGGACCCTTCGGGATTTGGCAACGGAATTGGTATAGACGAGCGACGCCCTTCTATATACGTAACTCGTCATTTTGCTCAACGTCCGTGAGTATCCGTTGTCCAAAAGGAATTTTGCTCATAGATTGGGAATGTTGTCGTTTGAGGTGACGTCAAACGGCGCCCTCTTGAAAGCCGTTGCGTAGGGAGTCTGCTTCTTGCTGCCTCGGCTTCGGTCTGTATTGTCATTCTCCATTCTCTGATACGAAGCCGGTGAATGAGCAATGTAACTGATGTCGTGATTGTAAATACATGTATCAAACACACATCGTATCGTAGTTACGATGGAGTCGAACAGACAGTTAAATATCACACCACAACGAGGACACATGGCAGGCTTTAAAGCCCTATAACAACGAGTCTCAAGTTGTTTTTCGTTCTGATACGACATATCGCAAGCATCAAGTAACCACATGATAAGCCTCAAAGTCAACAACCGACGCCATGCCTCTCCAGACGGCAACCCTCCGCATCGCTCGTCCGTCCGACAACATCGACGCCCTGATCCCCTTCTACGTTGACGGCCTAGGCTTCGAATTGCTCTACCGATTCAACCAGCACGAAGGGTTCGACGGGATCATGTTGGGCCACAAAGGTGCAGGATATCACCTCGAGTTTACGTCAAAGACGGGACATACTGTTGGGCGTGCGCCTACGGAGGATAATTTGTTGGTCTTCTATTTACCTGAGGGAAACGACTTTGAGGATGCTGTGAGGAGGATGGAAAAGGCTGGGTTTGCGGCGGTGAAGAGCTTCAATCCATACTGGGACCGGTGCGGGAAGACGTTTGAGGATGCGGATGGGTATAGAGTTGTTTTGGTGAGCACTGAGTCGCCGTTTTGAGGCTTGTGCTCTTTGAGTCCTTCATATGAGAACAATCAATACCTATCTAGTAACGATGCCATGGTACACAGCGTTAGTGCAGTTGACGTTTGATGTTAACGAACAATGACTGGCCTTGCTCACCGAGGCTCAAAAGGAAATGCGGCGAAATGCTCGGCCTTACGCACTCTTACTCGTACATGCAACCCTTCAATATGTATCTTTCAGCTGTATCCGCTCGTGTCTGAGAATCATGACTAAGGACTGAGCTATTGGGTCTCGACTCTTATGCCTCGTGAAGAGCGAGAAAGGGCTCGTGCAGTGCATGGGGCTCATACAAGCCCTGGTAGCTCAAATTCCCCGACGCGAGGCCGCAATTTCTCCGAACCCCTTGACCGAGAGGTAAATGGGTGAGGTTATCACGAAATGTTGAAGATGCACAAGTACAGGATTGTTGATGGTGACTTTCCGGTGAATGAATTATATCTTGTAGGATGTAAATGAAAGGTTTGTGAAAGTAAAGTCGCAGCTTTGTGATGGAGGTGGAAAAGAATGTTGATTGTCGGGTTCGGAGAGTCCGATGAGTCTGGATTAACGTCACGTGCCTTCGCGATTTACCGTGCGCGCTCCGACTCGCTGCCTCAACACGTCAACCATATCGCGCAGCTTTCTTGGTAGCCTCGGCCCAACGCAGGGCAAAGCTATGGATCATGGATTATCATGCCATCCATGGCCACGACATTGCCAGTTTTGACACATCGGAATCAACACGTAGGTTCTCCTCCTCTGTCAGGGCAAACAGTAGGCTGACTCAAGGTTCTCTCAGATCGCCTGCCCACGGTGCCGGCCTCACAGGCCTGGGAAGAGCTGAAGGCCAACCCGGCTACTCACATCTCGACGGGACTCGACGCTCTTGATCGTGCACTGCTGGGGGATGCGGTTGATTCGCAGGATGCCGCGGCCAAGGGCGGCATCAAGCGAGGCCAGGTGACTGAGATATGGGGACCCCCTGGTTGCGGCAAGACTGCTCTGGGGTAAGAGATCGATGGGATGCCATCTCGGAGTATGACCTTTTGGATGCTGACGAGGGATGAAGAATTCAACTGGCCGCCAATGCCCTGAGTGATGGTAACGGCGTGGTCTGGGTAGGTCGGTTTGACGACTTCATAGGCCATTCTCTTCGCCATCATTACCGTCACTAACGCAAAATTGTCGGAACGCAGACTGCTTTCAGAACCTACAAACACAAAGACTAGCGAATGTGCTGAAAAGCGTTCGAGATTCGCGAATCTTAGCGGGTTCGGGGGAGACGCAAGATGTAGACCCAAGCAAGCTGGTGCACTACACTTGCATGACGTTGCCGCATCTGCTTGCATTCATCTCGCGGCCGACGACGACTACTATTCCTCCGAATGTCTCACTCATCGTTATAAGCTCTCCGACGGCCTTGATCAATTCCTTTTTGCCGAGATCACTGGAAGGGAAAAGGAACCCTAAGCAAGCAAAGGGTGTGTATTCATGAACCGAGCTTCAACAACTGTTCTGAATTCTCTTCTCATCGCGTGCTTCTTAGGTCCCACTGCGTCTTCGAAACGCCTGCAAGGGCTACAGTTCATCATGAACACTCTGCAGAAGCTGGCCGCAACTAAGGACTGCGCCGTCGTCTTATTGTCGCAGTGCGCAACCAAGATGAGAAGTGAGCAGAGAGCTACGTTGGTCCCGTCCATCAACACCACGGTCTGGGAGCAAGGCGTATCTACAAGGCTAGTACTCTTTCGGGACTGGGCGTGGCATGCCAATAAGTCATCAAGCGTCTTTCTGGCTGGCCTGCAAAAAATTGATGGCAGAGCCGTCCAAGACGCCTCCGACCACGTATCCGCGTTTAAGATTGAAGCTGTAGGTTACATCGACGGCACACACCCCCAAGCGTCGGCATTTGGCAATGCTAACCTCGAGTTGGAAAGGCCGGCATATCGAGTGTCCACTACAAGGCCAGCGATCCGGGTATGGAGGTGGCGGTCGTGGCACAGCGACCAAAGCGGAAACTGGGGCAGACGGAGCTGGAGGTGCCGGACAGCGAAGACGATGAAGATTACGGCTGGGCAGACGAGGACGAGGACGCATTGCCGCCGCCGCCGTCACAATGGCAGGGGAGCGAGGATCTGATTCTGGGCAAGGACGCGGGCCTAAGCGAGGACGAGCAGGAGCCGGACGACGGGATCCAGGAGTACTACTTTGAAGACGACGAGGCCGGGGAGGGCGACCGAAGTAACAACGAGACGGATTGGCGGACTTGACCTGCGCTGGGCTGAGCTGGGAATAAACCGGGGGTGGCTTAAGCGCCGGCAAAACGCCGAAAGGACCTTTTCGCCGTGCACACGCACGCTGACAGAGAGGTATCCCCGACTTTGGAGCAGCGAGATGGAGCCGCATCTCCACCGGGCGGCCGTGTCATGACTTTTTTGAGACAGGCCTAGCAGAAGGGGAAGAGTTTTGCTGGTGCTCCAGACCGAGTGGCGTACCGGCCGGGAAGCTGTTTTCGGTTAGAGGCATTGGACCGATTGACTTTGTATATTCACGAGTTTGATATCACATCTCAGCTGCCTCAATACGAGCTGTAATAATGGCATTATCTCCTCATGATAGAGGTGATTCAGCGTGGCTTCAGCATATCACTACTCCTTGGCTTCTGCTGTATTGCAATTCGCTAGCGAGGTTCTGGCCATCCATCACAATTGCTGTGCAGTAGGACCGGGCCTCGTAAGACACAGTTCGTTAAGGTAGGAACAAGCATGGCCAGATGTCACTCTATGCATCGCAGATAGGTAGGTACGTGTAATACCAGTAGTATAGTAGTAATTGGTAGTTCTCGCACGTATCATTCCTGAGTACTTTCTGGTATACATGTCTCAACCTCCTAAGCCATAATCTCGGCTGGGCATGTCTCCGTAACAGCGTGCTGCGTCTCCATCTATCTAGCGAATCCCTGGATCCATCCTGAAAGTTCCTTTTTGCGGGGAAATCTTGCCATGAAATTCATTCATCGTCCCAGTAAATGGTGTCCAAAGGCCGCGAACGAGCCGTAGGCACATGCCTATTCATCATCACAGTTCCCCGTGACGGCCGAAAATACTGGGCAGGATTCGCAGGGCGAGTCCAATTAGGATGACAATAGTCGCACTCGTGGTTGCTGAAGAAAGAGCTAATGCCGTCGGGCCCCAGATCCGTGACACCAAACTCTCGGCGTCGAGACAAGATGACTGGGTCGGAGAGGACAACCTCATGCTGGTAGACGCCACCTTGGAGGTCGCAGAGGACATAGAAACCGCCGGTTGCGTGGTAGCTGAAGTGGCTGAGGGCTTGCATCACCTTTCCCCACGCCGTGGACTCGTTATTCCAGCCGGTGTTGCTGTTGAACTTTTGATAATTTTGGATAAACGGCTCGACGAGTGAATTCTGGCCCGCCCAGTTGTCGCTGCAATCGTCCTCGAACTGCCACACCTGCGGCACATTGATCTTGATCTCTCTGTTCACGACGCCCAGCTGATTGAAGCGGTTGACAATCTCGAGAGCTTTATCAACGGCCAATATGTCGTATCGAAAGAAGTCTTCTGAAAACACGGCACCGGTCTTGAACCATTTCGTCACGCAAGCTTGGTTGAGACGAGGACCGGTTACGTATTTGCCCTTGGCAACCCATCGAAAGGAACCTTCTGCGATGGGGTTTGCCAGTGCGTGGTGCGTAAACGTGGCTCTACTGGATATGTTGTATCTTCCCGCATCCGTATTGTCAGTGGGAAGGTCTGCGAAGCCCTGGACGCAGTTGAAACATCGTGACAGACCGATGCCCCTGGCCCATTGGGTGTTGGTGTAGGAGGAGCGGTCGAGGGAGCGGTTGCATTCTGAGCAGACGCGGTCAGGCATTGCGTGAGCCCCAATGGATGCCTCCAGCGTGGATTGGGCTTGAATTGAGGTCGAAGGCACGGCAGAATCGACTCAGTTCGCGTTGCCTAAGGTATGACGCGTGGTTCAGCCATGCCGTGCGTGGAGGGAGGCAGCTGCCAAACCAAGAGCACTCGCTTAGGTAATATTTCTGCTCTGCGCCTTCCATGTTATCATCTTCCAAACATCTACCAGGCAATTACTTAGTAGCTTCTAAGACTCGACGATGAAGCATCACAGGAAAGCATTCCTTTTACAGTATCCCAATCCCGATATGCAACTGACATTTATCACAGGCTCAGGACGATCAACGCCCAGCTGCACGTGCTGCAGGCGTCCCCAGCTTCGGCTCGGAGCCAGCTCGTACGTCCTACGAACCCCGTTCCGTACCTTGATGGCCGCTGGTCCTATTTCGGCCACACTCTGTTCTCGACTCTTTGACATTTCGCCACCCTCAATCCCTTTTGAGCTGTCACGGCCGTGACCGTCAAGCCACGATGCCTCGGATCTTTGTGTGTTCCTGGCTTGACTGTCAGTTCCTGAAAACGCCGAGAGCAGAGGTTCTCCTTGTTTGCCCGGGGACAAGAGCGCCTCTCTTGGATCCGGAGCTTTTCCCTAATTCTCGGGCCCTGCATTGTTATCTTGGTCAATGGTATGGAATCCTCCGTGCTAAGCCGGGCAGAGCAGGTCACCAGTAACCACCAAGCTGGCACGGAGTTCGGATTCCAAAGCTCCCTCACCAGCTCCAATGCCTTCAGTCCTCCAGGTCCATGCGTTTGCCCACATGCTTCTGGAAGCCGAGTCAAAGGCGGGAAAAATTCTCCTAATTGCATCATGGCTAAACGGAAGCACTCACCCCCACCGTTATCTCTTCTCTCCTCTTCTCTAACTCATCCCACGCCAAAAATAACGCCGGTTGAGAAATTTTGACGATCCACACCCGGTCTGGTCTCGAAAGGCTTGATTGTACCTGTGGGGAAAAGATACATCGCTGGAAATCCCCCGATCTGACTCCACGTTTTTGTAGGGACACGCCTCTTCAGCAAGTTTTTCCCGCCCCAAGCAACTTTTTTTTCGTCTTTTTTTTTCCTCTGGCGTTTATTGCACCCACTTTATTTTTCTTAGGCTTCACGGAGCAGGGGAGGGAGCAGCAGGCAGCCTTATTTCTCCTTGTGCCTTATGCACAAATGTGGACTCCAGTCGACTGGACGCGGGCGGCCATGTCATCATCGACTGTGGCGAACGCAGACACGCAAACGGGCGCAGCAGGATGGATGCAGCGCTGCAGAGGACGTCCGAGACAGGTTTCTAGCCGACTTCTGGACGCATTCCTTGAGCGCGCTGTGTGTGTGTCCTTACTCGTACGGACGCGCCAACATCGCTAAGCAGCGCATTGAGCTGTTCCAAGGCCATGGTGCCTTGGCTGACCCGAAGCTGAGACGTTCAAGCCTCTTGTGGGGTCCGTGAGGTTCTGGGGTCTGTATGGGGTGATGGTTCGAGAGGGAGAAAAAGCGCTCAGTACCACCGTGCGCAATCTGGCCGATACAACCCCTACGAGTATTACTGGAGCATGAACATGGGGGTTCCTGCGGCCCAGACTTGCCTGACAATACGGAGTACATACAGCAAGCGGCCGACGATACGATTACGCCTGAAACCTGCTGGCCTGTTTGTGGCATTGCATTAGCTTTTGATGATTTAATGACTGCCCGGCAGACGAAAAGCTTACGAGTACAGACTGATTCATGGCATGATGAAGTCAGTTGTTGACGACTTGTTCCAGTATATGACGCAGCTGATTAGCATCCCGAATCACACAAGCAGTCTTCCGAGCACCAATGGGGGAATTGCGGAAGGGCATTCCCCGTCGCTTGTCGTTATCAGTTGCCAAGTGCTGAGTGAGATAGGGACTGTAAAGTTGCGCCGAACTTCCCCATGTTGTCTCTAACGCGGCGCATCCCGTCCACACAACCGTCAACGTGGTCCCCCATGCCGGATCGACGGCTAGCACTCACAAGCGTGCTGAGATAACAGACCTCTGGCGACTGAGCACGGGGAGAAAGGCAGCAGAGTGGTATTGGACGAAGCCGGCCTTGCACGTCTTATGGTGCAGAGGTTAAGCATGTGAAGCTTCTCCAGCGAGTGCCGCGGGTGCTGGACGTCAACAGGTCAGTTCCGTAGCATCGTCAATATTCGGAACGCTTCTTCCCTCGGAAGTTTGCGGGCATACTTGATCCTGGCCACGGCTGCGGCCTTGCAACGTTTCAATTTGTCCTTTTGCCATTGCCAAAACAAGACTGACAACACCAACCAACATCCGAGAACAAGGGTGAAATACGCCACTGCCGGAACGCACCGATTGGATTGATGATGGCCCCATTGCGAGACGTCTCGATCCACGATACATTCCGACGATTTATATCAAGCACCACCTGCATTTATGCCTCACATCCCTCATCAATAGGCGTCGTTCAGATGGCCACAGTGATTCCGATAGCCCGAGAAAGGCCCTTGATAGCATCATTGACTTATATGAAGTACAAAGGGAGTACACACAACATAGATTACAGCCAAGCTGCAACATATCGTTCAGCCAAGGCAAGGGATCTTGTACATGCTTGTACATTCCCCATCTTCATGCAGTCCATCACGGGAGCCTGCATTCGGATGCGCATCTGGCGCATCCGTGGGGTCACAGCAATGGCCTGAGCCAAAGGGGGAAATGGCGAGGACAAGCACGGACGGTCCCATAGAGATCGCCATTGGTCCGCTATTAGCCATGGGGTTGCGATAGGTAGTATAACGGCACCAACTTCACTGGGAGAGTCTGGGGTTGGTTATATGGTCATGGCTCTTATGGTGTAGGTAAGCCAACGTCCATTGGCACCGATAGACGAGGGCGACGCTGGTGGTGGTCTTCCTGAACCATGGATCGTGCTCTGGACCGGTGAGACGTGAGTCTGTTGGGTGAGGCTTGTGGGCCATGCGCCGGCTAAATTGCGATGTCTTTGGCTATGCTTTAGCCGCAGTGGATTGGGTTCCTTGTTCCTTCGTATAGGAGAATAGGCATCTCGAGCCGGATAATGCGTACTATCGACAGTGAGACAGGAGGTGCTAAATAGGCGAGTTTCTCCAAAGGGTGACTTTATTTTTCCGAGGATGAGCGATGACTTTCGATCGTGATAGATTAGGATATAGTATGCTTATTCTTCGCTCTGGGTGGTCGTGTGTATATACATATGTGTGGTGTTGTGTGCTGCCAGGTTGGCCTGGCTTGGCTAGAGTAACTGCCGACATCGCTCTGAGGCTTTACGATGGGTAAATTGGAAGGAGAAAGATGATTCGCTTGAATATATCATTTCCTGAGACTTTGAACGTGTGGTTATATTGCACGAGGAGCGATTATTACTTCTTGATCGATTCGAGGGGAACTCAACTATGGTATCCTATTCAACGGGACTACCTTAGTCTTTCTTCTAGCCTGTTCAGGGTATATTTGCGAGATGCTTTTCTTTGTTGAGAGCTTGATACGATAAATAGGCTATACTTGGGAAACGTAAATGAGGGTGATGACCAGGGGATATAGACTATCTACATGTGCACACCTGGGCTCAAGCTCTTTGTCCGAGAATGAACGCTATGTGTTGGCAAATTGACCTAAGGGGTCTTTAGGCATGGAATAAATGTAGTTCAACTTGGCCATCTGTACGATGATTAGGAGGAGTAGGTGCAGAGAGCTCCCAGACTCGCGGGGGTGGGGGGAAGGAAGGGGGTGCCTAACCTTTCTCTCCTGAGATGTATTATTGGAGTCGGTGCTTGAAGCGAACATGAATGTCATGAGGTGACTTGGATGGATAAATTACGCCCCGTGATGATGTTTCTGGGCAACATACTCGTGACGTGAACTCCACTAGCTTTGACATAGAAGGTTATACCGTTTGTGAAGAAGTCTGTTGTGATGGTCACTTTATGCCTAGCAGGTTGCCGAGTACAATGGCAAGCAGTTTGCGGATTCTAGCTCTTTTCTTGGCCCTCACAGCTACTGTGCATTCGCTCTCACACTTTCTCAGTACGTGCCCTGCCAAATATTCCCAGCCCTTATTCAGAGGTAACTTTCGAGAGGGCGAGACTCCTTTCAAAGCTCAATCACTCATGTCTTCTATCAAAGAGCTATTTCTCCAATAATGGAAGCAACTCGGGGCCAATATTTGATTCTAGTTGATTCATAAATGACAGATCAGGTATGTTACCTAGTATTACCCAGAGGAGTTATTGCCCTTGGTACATGAAATTGAAGAAGCATGGAGATCCTGACAGACGTTGAGCGATAACCTACTGGTCTGAACGAGTCTGAAAACTTCTATTTGCAGCGCTTTTCTTGCTCGAGCAGTTTGACTCTGTTATATATTGTGTCACCAAAAAGTGCGTATATAGCATGCCTTCCCAAAATGAACGAGAAACATGCTGTAGACCGTAGTCGGATACACAGGGGATCAGCTGCTTCTATCATTCGTTAATATACCAGCATCAAGTATGACAAAAAGTTGTCAAATTAGAGCCTGCGAGCTTGTAATAGAACTCAGAGGGTTTTGAACAAACTCATGAACATTTGGTAGAGTGTCTGTTTCAAGCAAAAGAGAAAATTGACAAAAAAAAGCAAAAAGGCGGGACAGCCGCCGGTTATCGAATCGGTGCCTTCCTCGGCCGCCCAACCTCCAACACATTCTTTCGATATACCGTTCGACTGCCCCCCTGATAAACATTGCCGGACTTTTAGTATATATACCTTAGAGGCGTGTTGGGCTGGCTGGCACGTGGCGCCAGCTGTGAGCAGGCCAGGAGTGTTGACGGGCGAGTGGCACTCCGTCTGCAGATGGCGTGGCATGGAGGAGGTTACGAGCCTGAGGATTTTCTTGTATTCTCGGAAAGTAACCGTTCACTGAGGCCTTCGTGTTTCTTCCCTGATTCTTAGTCTGTCATGTTGGATATAAACATTACGCTTTTAGCTTCTTTTCTATACCATAGTGTTGAGAACTGTGTCTACCACGAGTGGACACTACGAGCCTCGTCCCTCTTCAGTGTCATGTATTTGATCAGATGTCTAGGGCTATATCTAGCCCAGCCTCGCTTACGGTTATCTTATCATGGGGGTGTATGGTATGTAAGTTCCAGAAGAGTCTTGGCCGAACTGGTCGAGTGCTTGAGACGAATGCCTACATAGGTCTCTCAAACGATGGAGATTCCCATACGAGGGTCTCATTTCAAGCTCAGGGCTTCTAGCCAGCTGTAAGACAATAGATGCAGTCTCTTTGATATGAAATAGAGTCGCCATTCCTAGAATTAGTGTTGAAGTGATGGATCTGTTGAGGGCCGGTCACTGGCCAGACAAGACGATCAGAAGGGATGGGTGGCTACATCTCCGGCAAATGTGCACCATTGATACTTGTAAGGGCCTGGATTTAGTCCTCCAGATGTGATGTTCCTTTTACAAGCTCACTGGTAAACTCGCATGAGAGGGTGGCAGCTCGCCATTGGACATATTTATCGTATCACCAAGACACTTGGAAACCGATTGCGAGCTCGACAAAGGACCAGAGACTTCCATCTGCTACAGCGTGGAGAGATTGTAGCACGTAAATCCAAATGTATTTTGGACACTAGCAGATGACTGCCATACTCTGGTGTCGTTCGTGTTTGTCGAACTCCGTTTGTGCTGAAATGGCCGGGTGACTGTATGTAACTCTCACTATGTGCTTCGGTGCAACCTTCTCAGCACCGCTGGGCAATGTTGAAGCGTCATTTCGGCCACAGTTGCCGCAAGCAAAGCCAATCCATCCCAGAGCCCTTGAGTACCCAAATTTTTCTAGTAAAAGCACTTGACAACAATTCAAATATCCCAAAAAGGCAGCGTTTTCAGCATTCGAAACGAGATGCAGTCATGCAGGGTAGCAGTCGCGCCTTCCCAAGCCGGTCCTTACATAAGCGGGGACACGACATCAAGCCACAAACGCGCCACAAACTGATGCTTCAGCTCAGGAAAGTCGCCTCACCTTCTGAACCTGCCAATTTCCCAGTCGACCGGAAAAGGCCAAGACTCACGACGGTCAAACTCTGAACGACGAATTGCACCTCCACTGAACCAAATCTTCCTCTCTCGACATGAAGGATTGAAGCTGCGTGCCGTTCAATTCTGTTATATCAAGTGCCGCGCAGTTCGGAGGTCCGGAAGCCATAAGGAAAGAAAGAACCTCTCACGAAGTCGTGTTTGATTGGTGAGTCTGCTGAGCATCGCATTTCTTCGTCCCCTCATCGTTTGCCTCATTCAAGGCCCTGTCGAGTCCTTCTGCCGCGAAAATCTCAAATGCTTAGACTACTGCAATGACTTTCACATGGCGGTATGGTCAATGGCATGAGCAATTCCGTCATTTATGAGATTCCACACACTCGGTTGCATCTCCCAGTATTGACCAATCGTCAAGTGCACATCATAATATCCATATTGATCACTCCTTTGGGGAACAAATCAAGTACTGACTGTTCTTCAACCAGACGATAAATCAAGATGACTTCCGAAGCCCCCCCTCAAGACGTCGCCGCCTCACAAGACGCTCCCAACGCCGCTCCCAACGCCGCTACAAACGGCACCGCAAATGGAACCGCAACAGAGAAGAAAGAGAGGAAGCCATTCTCATGGACGTAGGTTGACATATTGCATACCGGTAACCATTTATAGAGATACTGACGCAATCTATCAAGCCAACCGCATCCCATCTTTGTCATCGTTTTAGTCGGGCCCGATGAGGAGCCGTTTGGCCTGCAAAAAGACTTCCTCTGCGATCGTTCCGAGTTCTACCGCAAGTATTTTGAGGAGAATGTCACAGAAAAGGCGCTGGAACATATTGTAAAACTCCCAGATGCGACTGTGGAAGTGTTCGGTCTCGTACAAAGCTTCCTCTACACTGGCAAGATCACAGGCGAAAATTCCAGCGTCACTTCCTACGAAGCTCTGGTTGGCCTCTGGAACCTGGGCCACAAACTTGGCATCAAGGGCCTATGCGAGCATACGCTCGAGGCCATGGTGGAATGCCGACGAACCACGGGTCGGATCCCAGCGACGCCTCTTCTCATCCAGGTCTGGCGAGATACACCCGAGGGGTCGTCTATCAGAGTCCTCTTGCTGTCTTGGGCCGCCGAGTACATGAGGTCTTCAGACGCGCGGGCCGAGTTTGCCAAGTCTCTACCCCAGGAGGTGCTCAGCGAACTCGTGGTGACAATGAGCTCGTTTGAGACCACTATACTTCCAGCTCCTGCTCCTGCTGCCCCTGGAGCTGCGACCGGGACCTCTGGGCTCCCTCCGAGTGCTATCAAGTCGCTTCCTGAGTCTCTATCGACAGGGCCGAGAAAGAATGTACACTACCTAGACGAACAGCTTGACGAAGAAACCCTCGCCGCGAAGAAGAACAGACGATCGCTTGGCTTAGCAAGCGACCCAGGGTCGGCTCGCAAGTCGCATCGCAAGTCTGGCTCTTCCCCACCATTCAAAGCACAGAAGCGACGCTCGAGCGCAGCTATGTTGGAGGGTAGGACGTTCTCAACTCAGCAGAAGCTCGACTTTTGTGCAGATCTGCTGAATAGGATGCTCTCTGGGCCCGGTAAGCTCCCCCAATGATGGTCTTTGCATTGAGACCGTGTATTTCAGTCTAACTAACCCATTATAGGCTTCTGGACGCGACTTGTTGGGCCCTTTCGATCGCCAGTCGATCCCGCGGAAGACGGCGTGCCGGACTATTTTGACAAGGTCAAGAAGCCAATGGACCTCAGCACAGTGAAGATGAAGATGGATCAGAAGGAATACACGACCGAAGAGGAGTTCCTCGGCGACGTGCGGCAGATCTTTGAGAACTGCTTCACATACTGGAAGAAGGGCGATCCAATGTTCGCAGCTGGCGAAAGGCTGCAGCGCACTTTTGAAGAGAAGTACTCGCACATGAACAAATGGATCGCTAAGCTGGGAGGCGAAGAGGGCGAGTAGGATACCACTGACTCTGATCCTCGCGGGCAAAGGGACTGGAGGCGCGCGTAAATACGAAGCCGCCTGTGATGTAGCTGCGACGAGTCTCGGCAGAGGACCGTAGGAGTCTTTGTGCATGCCGTTGAAGCTCGGAGGATCCGATTGCTGTTCTGCTCACTTTTTTTCGGGGTATCTCTCAGCAAAGAGCATCGGCTATTGATGCACTTTGGGGCGTTCATGGATGACTCCTCGGGTCGTTTTGGAAGCTTGTCATGTTGGGGGACCAATGTAATAGTACTGGACATCTCGAAGCCATGGCTCAGATGAAAAGGTGTAGGAATAGGATTGTATTAGTATTAGTATTATGGGAATTGATACCTTGATCAGGAGATGGGGTGCCGTGACGATGTGGTAAATGTGAGTAATGTGACATGTGGTTTGGGGTTGCTGGAGATGTAGGATTTCTGGGTAACGGATCTCCCAGCACATCCAGCGCCTTGCTAACAGCCGAAACCGAAGCCGCCTGAAGCATTGTCAAAGAGGAATGCATATCGGCAGCCCTGTGCTGTGAGTTATGAGCGATAAGTAGTACTAGAGTAGATCGATGAGAGATGATTTGAGTTAGTTCTCTATTGAAGATGGTTGCTTTCGCCCATCACAAAAAGCATATTCGTTGGCTATATTTATTGTGACGCCTATACATGTCCCATCACCCATGACCTTGCTTGAGAGTGAGGCTACAGTCCATTTTAGACGTTCAGTCAGACAAGAAGCTCAACCAGACATCTAGTCACGACAGCACCGGTCATCGACGCTCAACGAGCTCGGTTCGATGTTCTGCTGGCTTGGTCCGACACTCACCAGACTAGGTCTGACGCTAAATTCTAGGCAATGATGAACCAAGTCGAATCCCAGCGTGCTAGCTTTGATGCTTGTCTGTAAGTTATGGGGATTGCTGTGTCCGATAACTAGCCACGATGCCTGGACGCTTCGACTTGGCAACTGGACGCCAGGGGAGAGAGACGAGGTCTGATGCGCGTGTTCAATCACTGAGAGGTAACTTCACTCCACGCGAACACATATGGAAGCTCAAGGTATGCACTTCTAGACCTTGAATGAGAAATTACGTTCCGACTGTTAGGCGTGTCGACTTCTTGACGGGGAGAGGCTGCACCCAGATCGCTAATTATACACGCCTTGTCGATTCATTGGTGAATCGAGTTGAACACTTGCCAGACATCTAACCAAGCACGACTTGTAGGATTGGCGGATGGGGTAGGCAATCTTGCGAAGGGCATCCGATTCACAAGCGATCTTGCCCGTCACAACTAGCATCGCCTTAGCAGCGTGGAATCTAATTCGGAGTCTTCATGTATAGGATATGGCGAACGATATGGTGACATCCAAAATGGAGAGTATCTGAAGCAACACCCTAAGGAGGGGACACGCCGCAGAGAAGAGGACATTTCAAGACGAGGTCTAAGAGAAGGCGAGGCGATATACCTACAACTCATGGCGATGCGCTGATGATAGTAGCTGCGGCGCGGCGGGTGGGGTTGTATCGATCGACTTGGCCTTATGTATAGGCTGTAACGATTTACCTGAACAAAGATATAGATCATATAGAATCGTGAGGAAGTGGGACTGTGAGGCATGTGACAGGTGGTGGTTGAAGTTGGTAAAAGGTAGGTAAAGATAGAACTGTCATGGAATCATGTAAAAGCTTGGTGTAAGGGATGCATCAACAGATTCAACAAGTTGGCCGAGATGGATAGCTGAAACCAAAACAGTCGAAGGTTTCGACGGTGCATATGAACAGCCCTGTGCTGCGGGTTGTGTGGTACGCAGGCTGGGGCAAACGATGAGATGATGTCGTTGGTATTCCAGAAGCTGGCTCTCATATATCACATTCCAAACACCACGTTGGTTACTCTGGTATCGATCCGATGCATGACCACGTGTCTCTGAGAGGGAAAGCTACTATCAGTCGGGTGACATTGCTTCCTGTGCTCTTCAAGATGGAATACAGGGTGTTACCCGATGCTATCTGCATCGCATACAACGCGCGCGCGCACGCTCATGCTAATGTTTTGTTTCGCCTTTTCTTCTAGGCTCTCCAAACAAGTCCCTTCTTCCTCCTCTCCCTGGTCTGGGCGTGCTTCGTCGGCGGTCAAGTGACCGGGGTGGAAGATTGGGCATAGTGAGACAACACGTGAAGTGGATGGGAACAAGCCCTGGTTGGTGATGAGAGCGAGATGCGGCAATGTCGGATGCTGCGCTGGTCTGAGATCTCCACCGGATGAGAGTCTTGTAAGACTTATGACGAGTCTCCTTCATCGGTCATGAGAGTAGACGTTGCTTTTCACAGTCAGCCACCACCTCGTGGAATAAACAACCTTATTTTTTCTCTGGTCATCGTGCATGACATGGATGAGGCGTTAAAGTTCATGAGCTGCTCCCCCGTCGACACTGGTGAAACCACGAGCCGGGCGCCATGACAATGGGCGACAGAAAAGGGCGAGCAGTGCGGAAGATGGGCTCCGGAGAAATGAGACACCGGTATTATGGCATGGGATCCAATGTCGTTTGCTTGATTGTGTAAGGTGATGCTTGGACAAGCAGAATGAGCAAAGAGAGCGAATGCCCGACTCGGCAGTTCTCCGCAAAATGACCGACGTCGCTTAAGCAACCCTCAAGTGTCTCATCACAACGATCTCGACGACAGCAAAATCACTCGAAGAAGCAAAGAGGCCTTTCGTCACCGACAAGTCGAGGAACGCACACGCCAGAAAGCGCCCCTTTCCATATCCGCTTGCTCCAGAGAGAGAAGCCACAGAGAGGATACTGAGAGGATACTGAGTGAAGAGAGAGAGTCAGCCAGCCAGTCTTGGTGGGCATCGCGAAGTGGAGTTTCACAGGGCCAGGGCGGGAAATTAGCAGCCAAGCACCAAGCAGACCAATCCATTTTGCCCATTTGCGCTGGCGCTTGCTGAGTGGTCTGGAGCGGGTTGAGGCGGTTTGGGGTGGCTTGACTCTGTGCCTGGGACCTTGCAGATTCGGGCATGGGCTGGCAGGGGTCCGATGGACCTTTTTAGCTTCGTGTCCGTTGCTTTCAAGGTGACTCGTCTGGGATGTTGGTGCCGGGGCTCGAGGAGCTGAGCGGCGAGGAGCGGATGAGGCGCGAGTAAGCAGCGGTTGACGATGCCCTCTCTTTTCTTCTGCAGCAGAGAGCACAAAGCAGTGCGCCGGTAGAGCATAGACTGAGAATGAAAATAGTAGGAGTAATAACATAAGATTGATCAATGCTTCAGGTCTCAAACAGGGCGTTCGCCTTGCTTCGTTTCGTCTCGTTTCGTCTCTGTCTGCCCGCCTCTGCAGCGTCGCCTCTGCCTGTTGCTGAGCCGGTTCCTCTGCCTGGCCCCTGGGAAATGAGCGATTGCAGAGCAGGAAAAGGAGTCGCCGGGGTGGACGACGTCGCGTCCGCTAGGCCCAGGCAGCACAGACCGCCCCCCGTGCCTAACAGATGCTACACGACCACGGTCCCCTGGCCAGCAGCTTGGCGGCAATTGGCTGTTGCGCCCTCCAGGGATCCCCCCTGCTGTCGTTCTTTGTCTCTCGCTTCCCTCCGCATCTCGAAAAGCTTTTTCTTCTCTTCTCTTCCCGCTTCTCGTGTCGCCTCTTGCAGCTTCTACCTCACGCTCATTGAACCACAGTAATTCCAAGAGTATTCTTCAATACTCGTTCCGCTCTTTATCGAGATCGCCTTGCCTTTGCGCAGCTCTTGCAATCCTTTCCGCACTCCTCACGATCCTCTCCTTTGAGAATCTCGCGATAATAATCAACACGTACACAAAACACGCACAACGCGACACGACGTCAAGATGCTCTTCAAGACCACCGCCTCTGTTGCCCTTCTGGCCTGCGCCGCCCATGTCGCCGCCGAGCCCAAGCCTTACCGCCTGGCCATGATGCCCGTGCTGGGCCAGAGCCTCGCGCGCCGCAGCACCAACGGATACCAGCCCGAGCTGTCCCAGTGCAACGACGGCAACACCTGCTCCGAGGCCTGCGGTAGCGGCTATGCCGAGTGCCCTTCCAGCGGCAAGGAGACGCACTGCTACAACCCCGGTGCCAACCAGAACTGCTGCTCTGACGGCTCTGGCAGTATGTGAACCTTGAAAGAGATGTTATGCGATGAGATGACTGACCAGCGCAATAGACTCCTGCGACGCGGGCTACTACTGCACCCACGACCACGCCCTCAAGACCTGGTGCTGCCCGGAGAACATGGACCTCGCTGCTTGCGCCGCTGCTTATAGTGTAGTCGGTGGCCTCGAGAGCGCCACTCCTACCTCGACCAGCACCTCCAGCACCCCGACCAGCACCAGCACCAGCACGACTCCTGTCACCACCACTGCTGCTCCTACCACGACCAGCACCACGGAGGCTCCCACCACTACCGCTGCCCCTACGACGACCGCTGCTCCCACTACCACGGCGGCTGCTACCACCACCACCGAGGTTGAGGAGACCAGCACTGCTGCCGCCGCCACCAGCGCCGGCTTCACCAGCGCCTGGGCCGGCCACAACAGCACCATCACCTCTGCTGCCATTCCCAGCAAGCCTCACCAGAGCAACACGCCTATCCCCCCTGTTGCCTCCATCGGCACTGGCGCTCCTCAGCCTCCCCAGCCTTCTTCCACCATCAGCGGTGCTGCCACCACCAGTGCCAGCGCCCTGCTGCTCCTCGCCGCTGGTGTCATTGCTCTTCTGTAAATGTTCGTGACGGAGTAGAGACGTGGTTTCTATACGTCGGGTAGCCAAGGGACCGTCAAAAGTCCCCTGCTCAGCTCAGCGCAGCCACGAGGTTACGAGTCTTACGAATAGCGTCAAATATACGGGGTGGGCTGTCTTTTTTTCGTTTCGGAGAAGGGGAGATCTGTTGGTTTTTCTTTATCAGGGGCATCTTCCTCGGGTTTATCTCCTTTTCTTTTCTTGTCATAATGCATCTTGTGGTTCTCTAATTTCTTTTTATCAAAAAGTGCGATGATTCCCCTTCGATAGTTGTTGCCATCTCCATTTACACTTTTTCTGGAGTGGCGACAGTTTGTGGTATTTTGTTCAGGAGGTTAATATATTCTGGTGAACAAAGGAGAAGGACGTCCGAAATCTGTGTGACTGCGCTGGTGAGAGCTGCTTGAAATAACGCCCGTACACTTTGTGCTCATCTACTCTGTTCTATATTGATTTGTATCCCATATTAGTACTCGGTTCTCAACGAGACCATTCCCTTTGCCTGTTCCGTCTATTTCGTCCTCTTTGTCTTTTGTTTCGTTTGTGTTTTTGTTGCAAAGGGCCAGTTCTAACTAGTCACCTAATAGAGCGTCTGAATATCTCATCATCCCCGTGCCTCACGTTATCACTCAGACATGTGGTCGAAATAAAGAAATCACTATGATATCATGTTCAAAGACGATCCATGTCCCTTCGTATCCTATGAACTCACACGCACAGATGCAGATGTGGCTGCAGCAGACCCGGTGCGAAGATCGTGGGGAAGGAAAAAAGGGGCGAGCCACGACCAGGGTGGGACGCACGAAGATGTGAGATGCTTCACAGCCACCTCCGCATATTACTTTCTGTATTCTCTCTTTTCATTTCTTTTTCTTCACTTCTTTACTGGTTGGGTCATACTTGACTGACAGGGAAGATGCAGTGCGTGTAGATAGAGTTGTGTGATTCGTCACCTGCGTGGCGAGAATGCACTGTGCTCTGGGCCTTGGCCTTTGGCGTGCAGGCGGGTGAGAAGCGGGTGTTGGAGTGCAAGGTGAGATGAGATAAGAGGGTGCTGGGAGGCAATTGTGTTTGCCTTACTTCGGGGATGGGTCAAGGGTACATGAAGGGCTAGTCGAGAGGCTTCCTTCAAGCTGTTCTTTGAATCTGCTCGGAAGTCTCTGCTACCTACTGGTACAGGATCGATGGGAGCGTTGATGGGAAGGAAGGCTGCTTCATACCTGCTGTGCTGTGGTGATGGGCGCTGGGTTGGGGCAGGTAGGTTGTGTGTGGCGTGCCAAGCTCTCTGCATAGGGAGAGGGAGAGGGGCACTCAGGTTCATCTCACCTGCAGATAAAGTACTGCACGGCTCTGCGGCATTGTCCGTCGAGAAGGAAGATGAAATATGCTGCAGGCCTTGCACAATGGCGGCGAAGAGTCACTACAGAGTCATCCATCTAATCACTAATCAATACGAGGCGTCGCAGCTCTACCGCCTGTGGCTGCGGGATGCCGGCACTAGAACGTCTTGCATGGCTAGTACATATGAGTCACTGGCCGACGCTGTCTTTGCATTGGATCGACGGTGCGATTAGTATTCTCGGTGGCTTTCGTCTCCAACTCTACGGAGCTGCAGGGCGATACGGATCGGAGTTGGGGGGCGGACCGGGCCTCTCTTTACGAGCCAGTGCCGGATTGCTGGTGAGGAAGTGAAGAGTACCTGAAATGAGGGGCATTCCCATTTGGGCACTTATTGTAGGAGACTTTTCGATTGTATCACTTCGAGATTTGGAGTTCCTTGTTTGGCACTCATCAAGGGGAAGATTGTTTGCTATAAAGCCCATTCGATAGGCCCCTGGTTCTTCCCTTTCGGAGATCAACTCGACGAACCGTATCGGCTTAGTGGCATCGTCACCACCACACAACCTACTTCTACACTCTACGTCTCACAGTTGTCCAACGCCTTTACCCGAACGCGAATTGTACAATTCCATTGCCAAAATGACTTCAATGGCAGCCGAGTCCGTGGCCACGATCCTCTGCACGGCCAAGCAGACTCGCTTCAACATTGACAGCTCCAGCTACCGCGAAGTTCGTCAAGTCACCATCATTCCCACGACCCTTTTCCACAAATGCTAAACAAGAAGTTGAGGAAAACAGCTTGACATTGACGGCCTCAACATCGTTGTCACCTCTGGCGAAAAGGCATCCAAGCCTGAAAAGTCGTCAGGCAAATCAAAAGGCAAAGCAAAGTCTGATGGCCTGGAGATTCTGTCGAATGCCAAGCTGCGGTTGAAGGAGGGTCAGCGGTATGCCTTGGTTGGACGCAATGGCACGGGAAAGTCGAGTGAGGAATTGCACCCTTGCACATGATTGTTGAGAACGATAGCATTCATTCTTTGAAGTTTCGATTTGCTTCGTTTTGGCGAGACTGACTGGCTTGGATCTAGCGTTGCTCAAGGCTATTGCGCAGAAGCTCATCCCGGGGATTCCAGAGAGTTCCAGGATAGCGCTGCTGCAGCAGACCAAGCTCACCGAGTCTGATGAGGACGACAAGGCGGCAAAGGAGAACAATGGTCGAGGAAATGTCTTGCAGGAGGTCATTGAGCGTGCTACAGCCCGCAGCATGGTTGAGCAAGAAATCAAAAGTATACATCATTCTGTTTTGGTTTCCTGTAAAGGTTTTACTGACAGCTCCTAGTTCTCTTAGATGGCGTCAATGCTTCAGATCCGTACGCCCCTGTTCGAGCTCTGAGAAGCCTGAAGCACGAGAAGCTTCAGCAACGCCTCTTTCTCGTTGACAAGGAGGCAAGGCTTCGAAGTGGTGCTCGAGGACTGCAGGCGAGGAAAGCTCTTGTGGCCTTTGAAAAGGTCGTTGCAGATTCGCAAGCCCAGTGAGTTTCGATAGCTTGTCCGTGATACTATATCCTGATGCTAACGGCCATTTGTGTACAGACTGGATCAACCAGACGATGAAATCTCCACCGAAGCCCTCCAGGTAGAAACTCAGGAGGCGGCCGACATGCTCGCGGATCTACAGAGCCAGATCGAACCTTCACGCCTAGCACAGATTGAAGTACAAGCTAGGAACATTCTCATGGGTCTTGGGTTTACAGAGGCCTACTTGGAAAAGCCCCTGTCCAGTCTCTCTGGAGGTTGGCACATGCGGACTGCGTTGGCCTCGGCTCTGCTCCAGGAGGCTGATATCTTGATCCTCGACGAACCGACGAATTTCCTTGATCTGCTGGGCATCGTCTGGCTGCAGCGATATCTGCAGTCTCTAGCAGATAAAGAAAAGCCACCTACTCTGATACTCGTCTCTCACGATCGCGACTTCATCTCTCTGTGTACCGATCTCATCATCCTCAAAGATAAACAGCTCACGTACTTCCACGGCGACATACAAACGTACGAACGTTCTCAATCCGAACGCCGTCAATGGCTCATCAAGATGAAAGAGGCCCAAGACAAACAAAAAGCCCACATCGAAAAGACTATCGCCCAGAACCTCAAAGCTGGCAAGGCAAAAGACGACCAGAACAAGATTCGACAAGCCAAGTCCCGGCAGAAAAAGCTCGACGATCGCTGGGGCATGCAGGTCAGCGCCAAGGGCACTCGCTTCAAGCTGAACAGGGATCTTGTGGGATTCTTCCTGACGAGTCGCGAGGGGATCGAGATTCCACCTGAGCAGAGGCCCGTGGTGATATCGTTGCCAGAACCCCCTGAGTTAAGATTTCCCGGATCGCTCATCTCATTGGAGAAGGCTTCGTACCGGTATTCGCCGAGGGCGCCCCTGATTCTGCAGGATGTGACGCTTACTGTTGGGATGGGCGATCGGATTGGCATTCTGGGCTTGAACGGCGCAGGCAAATCGACGCTCATAAAGCTGCTCGTAGAAGAGACTCCGCCGACATCTGGTACTCTGACGACGCATCCTCGCCTTAGACTGGGCTATTACTCCCAGCATGCAGTGGAGGAGCTCAAGGCCATTGGCCGCTCTGAGCAGGGCATTACTTCACTCGCTCTCCTTACAAAGGAGGTAGACGGCGCTCTTAATGAGGGCGAGATACGCGGCTTACTGGGAACCCTGGGACTGCCCGGCCGTCTCGCATCGGACGTTCCCCTTTCCAAACTTTCCGGTGGTCAACTAGTGCGATGCCAGCTGGCGAGATTGTTCTGGAAGCATCCGCAATGTCTAATCCTTGATGAAGTGACTACGCATCTCGACTATGAGACGGTGACTGCTTTACGAGAAGCGTTGAACGAATGGGAGGGCGCCGTGGTGCTCGTGAGTCACGACAGATGGTTCATGCGAGGGGCCATAGAAGGACAGATCGAGGATGACGGCGACGATGACGACGAAGAGGAAGAGGAAGAGGAGGAAGCGAAACGGAGAAGGATCGTCTATCGGCTGAAAGGGGGAGCGCTAACTGAGCTCAAGGATGGCGTGGATGGGTTCTCACGCATCGTTGAGAAGAGGGCCAAGAAGTTATTAGAGGGTCTATAATGGCTTTGTGAAGACCCAGGTGAAAAGGGGGGATTATATCAAGAAAGTATCCAAAGCCTATCCAAGTGACTGTCTGAACTCTGCTGTGTCTGAGACTTCTCTTCAGTTCGAATCGCTCGGCAACACCCGGGGATCAACTAGAATCTTGAAGCCGCTCTTCTCTTCCTTTCGAACAGCCAACTCCCCTCCTTTCGGAATGTCCACAATCGTTCCATCTATACAAACCTTGCGCCACCTCTCATCGTCTTCCAAGATGGTGACCCTCAACTCATCCACCTCCTCGTACCGTAGCTTATGCCCATCGTCCCACTCGACACCAACATGCTTACCCCCATCATACGCCTTCATCATCAAGTCCAACGTCCTCTCCCCTCCCACCGGCCCAAAGTGCACCAACCGAAGCTTCCCATCCAAGGGCTTACTCGCCGGCGAAATTGTGAAGGTGCGCTCCAAGTTAGAGAGTGGCGTCACGAGCACATACGCGTGCTCGCCCCCGTCGAACTGCTCCCATTCCGCGGCAGAGGGATGGCGAACTCGGACCTGCGCGCTGTAATGGTGGGATTCGCGGAGGAGCTCCTGGGCGACCATGCCGAAGCGCTTGTCGCCGTGGATGCGGTACTCGGGGGTGTCGCTCTCGTAGACGATGCTGGAGTGGAAGCCGTAGCTTGCTACCACTGCGCCGAAGAGGTGCGAGACTTGGGTTTCTTCTTTGGCGAGGTGCAGGGCTTTGCTGGCATCGTCGTCTCCTACGGGTTCTTCGGCTGTAGGAGTAAACTTTACGATGCGCGAGCCGGGGGAGAAAGATGCGCGGAACAGAGGCAGGTTTGCAGATACGCCGTTGAAGAGCGTCCTGAGACCTAGCACAAGGGGGGAGGCATCTTCCGTCTTGCTGCCGCCCTCGGATGCCCAGAGGGGCTTGTGGAGGGAGTGGAAGAGGGCGTTGCCCGTGCCCAGGGGGAGAAGAGCCAAGAGTAGCTGCCGCTGCTCAGACGGAGACGATTCATCGTGAGGCACGCTGTTAATGAGATCAACGATGCCGCCGTCTCCGCTCAAGAGGACAATTGTCCTGGACTGGCTGCTGCTGCTGCTGTCAGAGGCACCAATCTTTCGGGAAAATTCTCGAACGCTATCGGCATCTTGCGTGACGAGGACATTCGGTATCTCTCGGCTTGTTTCTTCTGAAGAGTGTTCTTCAATCACACCCCAAAGTGGCTGCAGCACATTCTCCCAGAACTGCAGTGAAAGACCGACACCCGATTTTGTTGACACAACGACATCGACATCATGCTTCCCTTTCACGGGCCGCAGATGGAGAGGCAGGCCGCTGATGCGGTACGGCCGGAGGTCGTCGGGGATGGCGTCCGCCAACAAGTGAACCAGCCGGAAGCGGTTCTCTAGATTCTCTGCGTCTTCCAGCAGGAGGGATATTATGTAGCCCGGCTTAGGGCTGGGAGACTGGGAGAGATCAAGGACGAAGACTATGTTTTCGTATTTGGCTTCGTCTTTGCTGTCGGCAGTGGTCCAGGAGAGGATGCCGTTGGCGGCGGAGACGGAGGTGGCATTTGTCAACCCCGCTTGGGGCTTCGTCGAGCTCATTTGAATCGCTGAAGACAAGAAAAATGAGGCAAATGAAGTATATACTCCAACTCTATCAAAAAGGAAACAATAGACGTTATATGGCCAAATATGCGTTCTGGCTGAGCATGTAAGACAGAGGCATTATAGGCAACGAGCTCGATTATAAATGCGGAACCAAGACCGTGATGGCATGTTACTTTTGACAGCTTATTTTGCGGCACGGCTGGCGCAGCGCCGTCGCACGCGATCCTTCGCTGGTTCTGCGTGATTCGTCACTGATCCTTTGGTGGGGATTGGCGATAAGATGATGCCTTATAAGCCATAGCCTTGGTTGTTGAGACGAGATGGGGTGAGTAACACTCGAGGTGGCAGATCGCATCATCGTGAGTGTATCGACTGAATCTGATCTGCGTCTTGCTTTGCAAGAGCCCAGGGTCTTATGTAGCTTTGGTTCGAGAAACATTATAATCACAAATTCGCGAAGTATTCCTTACATCTACAGTTGGGTCATAATCATTCCGATTAGATTGTTCCACCTTTGTCATCAGGAGTAAATCGTAGCGACAACGCCATTATTTGAATGTCATTGTATTTGATGTGTCTCCACCAACTCATGTCGACGAGTGAGCGTCCTTAAAGGGTGGTAGTAACTCAGCTGTTCAATGGCGAGGGCGTCCCTTCGCCCCCCTTTCTTTTGGAGAGCATAAGCAAATGCTGACGTCGATGCGATAACGCCGCTTCATCTTCCAATTCTACGGATCGGTTGTCTCTTACCAGCATAACGGTAGTAGGTCCTTCAACGTCCTTTGGATAGTTCGCGAAAGCGTCCCATAGGCTTCCAGATACGTCCAGAACACCGATCATCCCCATTTCACTCCGAAAAAGGTCAAGGGCTTCTTCCCTGTCCGTGCGGCGGCCGTGTCTGAATTCTCCAGATAGATCCTCTCGTGGCCCTTTACATCCACAAACAGGTATTTGTACTCGTAATCGCTGTGGCCAGGAGGCTTCACCATGTGGCATTGCACCACTCCGTTCGCCAAAGGTCCCTCAACCTGATAGCATAAGTATTTGCTGTGACGATGGCCTGCTTCTGACTTACATAGAAATGCATCTTGAGATGCTGGTTGCCTTGAGCGTCCTTCGTTTCAGTAGACCTTTGGAAGCCGTGTAAGTGAAATGTCGACCGCTTTCGGTATACTCGAGAACACCTACGTGATGGGCCGTGCCATCCTCCACTTGTTAAAGGTCTCGTCTCCATGAGCCTGGATCTTGTTCGCATCGCCGAGAAGCTCGAGGCATCTGTGGTCCTTCTTGATCATGTTGACGGCTCTGTTGAACTGATTCGTCTTGCTCTCGGGAGAAAAGACATCGGTCCAGAGAAAGTACGCAACGCCTCCCTATACAGGAACAATCAGCCCTGCAATCGCACACGAATCCAATCTACCATCTCGGACGTACGGTGCAGACAAGGCCGACAATCACCATGCCAAAGTTGTAAGACTGCTGCGTCGCCCTCGCCGCCTTCTCAGCGCCGGACAGCTCGCTCCATGGCACATATCCGGTGTCGTTGAACGGCGTAACGCTCCTACGTTTCGGCTTTGGCGTCGCGGTGGTTCCCAGGCCGGTGTGAGTCGCATAGTTGCGCGCGAAGACAGGCCGGGCGGTTTGTGCGAGTGCGGATTTGGTGACGATTCGGATCGCGAGGACGGAAGTTGTTGGTTTCATCATGGCGGCTCAACTGCTTCCATCTTCCCCAGAGAGATCTCCAGGATGAAGAATGCGTGAAGAGAAGCGGAAAAGCTATTCCTCAGCTCGCAACAGAAATGTCATCGAAAAGGCAAACTGAAGCTTCCCGTGATACCAATATTTCGGCATCTTGCGCGACACCGCCCGCGGCAGAATTCGAGGTGGGGAGAGCGCCAGGCCACAACAGGCCTAGCGGATCCGTTATGCCACTTTACCGCATCGCCAATGCCCGAGAGGCGTCTCCTTAATAACTGGAATTATCCCATCATTAGGATTGTGCTGCGTCTTCTCATTCCTCGCTTGACACGGTCACTGCATAAACGGGCAGATACCGCGAATCTCAGGGAGATCAGAAACGCTTTGGTCAAGATCGCGTCAAGTCGCCAGCACAGCCCGCCACGATGAGCGCCCTCGCATCCAAGCAGCAGTCGCTCAAGATCTTCGAGAAGTTGAAGACGAAGCCAGCGAACAAGGTGCGGAACCACTGTCGCGATGGTCACTCTGGGTTCTTGAGACTGACGCGCGCCATTTGTTTTACAGATATGCTTCGACTGCGGACAGAAGAACCCTACCTGGACGTCCGTTCCCTTCGGCATCTACCTGTGCCTCGACTGCTCCTCTAACCACCGCAACCTGGGTGTTCACATTTCCTTTGTGCGGTCGACGAACCTCGATCGTATGTTCCCAAGATGACAATCCGCGCCGTTCTCCCGAGACAGATCTGACACATACCTTTCTAGAGTGGCAATGGGATCAACTGCGAGTAATGAAGGTCGGCGGTAACGAATCCGCGACCAAGTTCTTCCAGCAGAACGGAGGCACCGCGGCATTGAACAGCAAGGATCCCAAGACGAAGTATCAGTCCAACGTAGCCACCAAGTACAAGGAAGAGCTGAAGCGACGCGCCGCGCGTGACGCTCTCGAGTATGCAGATTCCGAATCCCTCCGATTCCAACCTCTCTAACCTCGATCGCTAGATACCCCGAAGAAGTCGTGATTGAAGCCGTCGAAGGAGATGGTAGCTTCACTCCTGCCGGAGAGCCAGATGATGACTTCTTCTCGTCATGGGACAAGCCAACGATTAAGAAGCCGACACCCCCTGTATCACGAAATGCGACACCACCCGTCGTCGGTCGCACACCCTCTCCATTCCTCAACGCTGGCAACAAGGACGTGCCCCGTGCGGCGTCACCTCTATCGAAGACCGACTCCACCGAGACGAAGCCTGCCGCCAGCCGAATCACCACATCCGCCGCCCTGCGCAAAACGACCACGACCGGCGGTGCCAAGAAGACCAACATTCTCGGTGCGAAGAAGGTGCAGAAGCTGGGCGTCAAGAAGGTCACCGGCGACATCATCGACTTCGACGAGGCAGAGAAGAAGGCCAAGGAGGAGGCTGAGCGTATCGCTAAGCTTGGATACGATCCTGAAGCAGAGGAGGAGCCGGCGGCCAAGGCCAGCGCCAGTTCATCTGCTGCCGCCATCATTTCCCCAACCCCCATCAGCCCAGCACCCAGCTCTCACACACGGCAAAAGTCGAATGCTGAGATGGAGCGACTGGGAATGGGTATTGGACGGCTTGGGTTCGGTCAGATTGGTGGTGCCAAGGCCGCTGCTTCTTCTGCTTCAGCAAAGAAGAATGCCGGTGGCTTCGGCTCCGTGGGACCTGTGAAAGCAACTGCTGCTGGTGAGTATCCTGGCCTGCTTCACCAGACTTCTGTAAGACTAACTATCCATAGACGACTCTGAATCGTTTGCCCGCAGCAAGTTTGGCTCGCAAAAGGCCATTTCCTCCGACGAGTACTTTGGCAAGGGCGCCTACGACCCCAATGCTCAGGCCGAAGCCAAGACCCGACTCCAGGGCTTCGAGGGAGCCACGGCCATCTCTTCGAACGCCTACTTTGGACGGGAGGAGGAAGAGGAGGTTGAGGATTATGGCGATCTCGAGTCGGCTGCCAAGGACTTTGTGCGCAAGTTTGGCATCACAGCTGCTGATGATTTGGAGAATTTGACCAATGTTATTGGTGAGGGCGCCAGCAAGCTGCAGAGCGCCATCCGGCAGTATCTCGACAACTAGAAGAGCTGCCAGGCAGCCTTCTTTCCTGGGTTTGGTCATTGGCACATCAAGTCGACGGCTTGCGGTTTTGGATGACGAAAGGGATTATCCGGAATGCAAGTGATCAAAGAGATGACGGGGGCTGAAATGCTTATGGGATGGATTCACAAGGTGGTATGGAGTATTCAGAGTTGGAAGGGGAAACCTTATACGAGAATGGCGCAAATTGTAATGTGAAAAGTGACTGGCGTGAATAGACGGGAGTCTTGCCTCTGCCTTTATTATTCTTTTCTTTGGTAATAAACGAGATATACTATTCAACCCTTTAACTGGGTATTGCAAGCGACTTTCGGCAGGACTCTTAACTCTGCTCGATCGATGTGTGGTACATATAGATTGCATGTATAAGACATTTATATGCTATAGTCTACATGACATGACGGACATGAAATCTTACAAACCGGGCTTCCATATCCAAAGAACCCAAAACAAAAGAGAAAGACAAAACTCATGATATTTTTACAGCTTAGACGAAGGACCAACAAGCATGCTGTTGCCCTTCCTCAACCAAGCAACGGCATCAGAGACAAACTCATCCACCACCGCCTTGGCGGGCTTCTGCTCGTTGACGACGGCAGCGGCCTTGCCCATCAAGAAGGGGCGGAACTGCTCCAGGGGATCGTCATCGTCGTCATCGTTAGCGCTCGTCTGGATGCCCTCAATCTTGGGCTTCTCGCCGCCGTTGAGGACCTTGTCCAGGTCAGCCTCGTAGGGGATGACGCCCTTTGCGGCGAGCTCCTTCATCTCCTGCTGGCGGTTGGTCTCCCAGTCGTTGATGTAGGCGTTGTTGCGCACGCGCATGGGACGGCCGGTGAAGATGATGGTGCGGATGTTGTCGTCGTGGCCCGCCGTGCGAACGGCCTCCTTGTGCGACTTGGGCGCGCCGGCCTCGTCCGTCAGGATGAAGCGCGTGCCGACCCAGACGGCGCTGGCGCCCATCATCAGAGCGGCAGCCAGCAGCTGGCCGTTGTGGATGCCGCCAGCGGCAATGACCTGGACGGGGCCGCCGGTCAGGGGCGACTTGTGCTTGCTGCAGATCTCGACGACGGCGGGGATGAGGACGGTGGTGGGGATGTCACCAGTGTGGCCACCGCCCTCGCCGCCCTGGGCGCAGATGATGTCGACGCCAACATCAATGCACTTCTGGACGTGCTTGACGTGGCCGATCATGTTCATGTACAGGATGCCGGCCTTGTGCAGCTTGTCGATGATGGCCTTGGGGGGCACGCCGACGGCGGAGACGAACAGCTTAGCGCCGGACTCGATGATGATGTCGGTGAGCTCGTTGAGCTTGCCCTTGGTGTAGTCATAGCTGAGAAAAGTCAAAATGTCAGCCATTTTTTTCTAGATTGGCTTGTGAAAGCTCGGTTTGTCTCGGTAGCGTGTGTCATCACGAGCATGTGATGATTACTCTTGCTGTTGGGTCGGGCTTGGCTTACTTGGTCTTACGGGCGTTGCCACCGACCTGGGGGATAAGCAGGTCGACGCCAAAGGGAGCGTTCTTGTCGTTGAGGTAGCTCTTGAGCTCGGCAATCTGCTCCTTGAGCATCTCGGGGGTGTAGCCGACACCGCCAATGACGCCCATGCCGCCGGCGTTGGTGACGGCAGCGGCCAGCTTGGGGCCGGCGGCCACGTTCATGCCGGCCAGCAGGATGGGGTGGTTGATCTTGAAAAGATCGGTGATGGGCGTTCGGATCTGCTCTGTTCGTGCATTGTTAGCAGTCTGAACCCAAGGTCGAGGCGAGGAGATTCGGAGTGTTGGCACAAGTCTGGACGCGCGTATCACGAGCAGAGCAACTTACGAGGAGAAGCCATTGTGACGGTGGTGATTCTGCAACAACCGGATTGGGTATCAAAGGAGGAATAGAGGAGGAAAGGAGTGGTATGGAGAAGAAAAGAAAAGAGGGACAAGAGCAGACGACGCGGTTAATAATGAGATTTTAGAATCTCAAGAGCCGAGAGGGGTGTCGGAGGCAGATGCATTTTCCAAGCATGGCCGTCAGTTGACCCTGACGAGCCGAGGCTTGGGCGAGCCGCTACGGCCGCAGAGGGCTTAGCGCCGTGATGGTTGATTGTGGAGCTCTGGGGAAAGATGCCGAGGTGATGCCTTAGTCAGCAGCCGAATCTGGAGAACACGATGGAGGATGAGGGTGAAGAAGATGAGCTTTTCTTTTATAACGTCATTATGTGCTGGTTCTCATTGTGGTTCAAGATCGAGACGAGTGTCTTGGTTGTGAATGCATGCGAGCACGAGCACGTGAGAAATTACAAGAAGGATCGCTGTCTCACATCACACAATAGGAACGTCTCACTGCTGACAAGCCTCATGGCCACCGCTCGTATGATTAGAACAAGTAGCCGCTATGAAAGCCGAACAACTGCGGATGGTGGAACCCTTACGTCTGCTTCATACCCCAGATTTGCGGAGGGTTGAGTTATCAATCGGTCGCTAAATAGCCAACCGAGGCATCTATTTCTCCGGATGCTTGGCTGGCGTCTTCTGTGCCTCTTTCTGGAAGAACAAGGGTAAAAGAATGCGTGTAATAGTGGTGACCCACTTTGCAGGGTAGATGAATTCGATGTCGGAAAAAATTGACCTCAGAAGATCGATATCGTAAGCTTCAGCTTCACAATATTCACCGCAACGACTTCATCGGGTCTCTCATCTCGATTTATCAACTGTACATAGCAGAGATGAGGTTCTCTCTGCATCATGCCCCCATAAAACAGGGCCTGCGCAGCTCTGGGGCGCGCAACTTTCACTCATCGTCGCGATGCTTTCCGTCCACACAATCCCTCTTCACCACCATCATCCATCGACCCAGATCTCGAGCTTCAAAGGAGAGCTCGTCGTCAAACGCATGCGGAAGCTCTCAGACTCGATCTCACTCAGGATGTGGCTGTCACCCAGCAGCCGCGAACCAAACGAAAACCGCCTACATCGCTCTCGGAAGCAACCTCGGAGATCGCATATCTGAGATCGAAAAGGCGTGCAATGAGATGAACAGGCGGGGCATCCGCGTCAAGCGGACAAGCAGCCTCTGGGAGACTGAGCCCATGTATGTGACGGATCAGGACCGCTTCATAAATGGCGCCTGCGAGGTGGGCAATCCGTAACTTTGAGGCCACTAGAGGAAGACTTGCTTACAGCTTAACGTATCATGTGGCTCACAGGTTGAGACGGAATTGGAACCTCTAAAGCTGCTTGATGAACTACAAGCCATTGAGCGCGAGATGGGACGCAAGAAACTGATTGACAAAGGGCCGCGGAACATTGACCTGGACATCTTGATCTATGGCGATGAAAAGGTTGAGCATGAGAGACTGAACGTGCCTCATATCGGCATCCCCGAGCGCGAGTTTGTCTTGAGGCCTCTAGCAGAGTGAGGCTAACTTGAACATTCTCTGCGAAATATGACACACAGCTGACTTCCTTTGGGTAGATTGATCCCATCAAAACCTCTATATGCTTCGCAGCCGTGGAAACTCGTTCAGGACTACCTCAACGATCTCACTCCCGGCGAACCCCTATCAACCATTACCCCATTATCATCCACGCTACCACTTACACCTCTCGTACACAACAGAAAGACCAACGTCATGGGCATTCTGAACATGACGCCCGACTCCTTCTCCGATGGCGGTCGTCACAACATGGAAAGTCTGTCTAATACGGTCAAAGACCTCGTTCGTAGCGGAGCCTCCATCATCGATGTAGGCGGACAGTCAACGGCTCCTGGCCGCCCTGAGGTCTCGGCAGAAGAAGAAGTCTCCCGAGTTGTCCCTGCTATCGAGCTCATAAGATCCATGCCGGAAACTCGCCATGTTGCCATTAGCGTCGACACCTATCGCGCCTCGGTGGCCGAACAAGCCATCGCCGTGGGAGCCGACATTGTCAACGACGTCTCCGCCGGAATGTTGGACGCCGAGATGCTCCCGACCGTCGGACGGCTGGGCAAAACAATTTGCCTGATGCACATGCGCGGAAACCCGCAGACCATGACGAAGCTCACCTCGTATCCAGACGGCCTGGTGCCGACCGTCGCCGCTGAGCTTCTCGCGCGGGTGGCCGCAGCCGAAGCAGCAGGCATCCGGAGATGGCGTATCATCCTCGATCCGGGCATCGGATTCGCCAAGACGGGCGCTCAGAACCTGGAGCTGCTGCGGCGACTCGAGGAGCTCCGAGCGTGGCCTGGCTTGCAGGGCCTGCCGTGGCTCGTTGGAACGAGTCGGAAGAGCTTCATTGGAAAGATTACGGGCGTGGAAGAGGCATCGCAGAGGGTTTGGGGTACGGCGGCCACGGTGGCAGCGGCGGTTCAGGGGGGAGCGGATGTCATACGAGTTCACGATGTTCGCGAGATGGCCATGGTGACTAAGATGTCGGATGCCATCTGGAGGGCTTGAGGCTGAGAAAGCGTCTCGATCGATTACAGGACGGAGCCTTTTATCGTCTCCGTGTGGCTATTCTGCTCTCTTTGCCTCGTACCATTGACATCTCCCGTTCATCTCTCCCTCTCCATCTCTGTCTCCTGTTCTCACTCCGCCTCATTTTACACGCCTCTCCACCATCTTACATCCTCTACTGCCCACCGGCCCTTTCGGTCAGATACGAAAACAAAGCAAGCTGGACATGACGCAAGGAAGATACCAAGCCAGCTGAACAGGCCTTGATGGCTGGGCAGCAGCAGGCTGGAGAGATTGCTCCTGAACCATTCGAACCTGGAATCTCTCGCATCATCTCCACAGGCCTCTTGGCCGGCCTTCACATCTCTTCTCTTCTTTGCCCAAGCGGGCAAAATACCTGACTTGCCTCACCGAACAGCCCGCAAACTTTACCAGTCGCGTCCTTTTCGGACACTTTTGCGAGAATCGAGCAGACCCCTTCCCTCATCCTTTTCCCGGGGGGCGTGCCACCTCGATCCCTGGCCTTGTGTGACAACACAAGCAAAAGGGCCTTGGGCCTTGTAAACACAATCTTTTGCATACCACATACACAGATGCACCGTCGATCACCGGTGTAGGCTTGCAGCTCGTGCCACCCCAGATACGAAGAGCTTATTAGCTGGGACGCATGTTTCTTTCGGAAGTTGTGTGGTTTCTTGTCGGGGTTCTGGGCAGTATCACTTAGATTTGGTGTTGCCCTTGTGTTAGGCCGGAACTGCATGCCGGTGATACTGAACGCGTGCGTTGTTTCTCCTCGGCACTCTCTCTCGTTCTCGTTCTCTTGTTGTTCGTCTGTTTGGGCGTGTGTGTGGAAGAGCAAGACGTTACACATGGCGCCATCTAGCAGCAGCGGCCACGACTACTCCGGGCGTACAAGATTCGCTTTGAAAAAAAGAAGGAGAAAAGAAACCAAAGGAACCCCGGCACAAGCATCATGCGAGAAAGGCCATTGCCAAGATAGTCTCTGTATAGCTACAAAGCCACCACCGGCCAGCTACAACAGAGATACTTGCACAGAGACCCCCTTCCGACCTTCTGTCTCTGCCTCACTCCTCACTCCCATCCTTGAGCAGTCGGAACATGCAAGGTTGGCATGCAGGGCTGCAACACGTGGATTCGGGTTACCCAACGGTAGGGTTGCAACAAGCGAGTCAGGCCATGCTACCGGCGTGTACCTTTTCGGGTGAAAAGGCTCAAGCGGACCGAGTACCGAAGAGGAGATTCCATGTACTTGAGAAGAGAGAGACTGCATGAAGGGAGATTGGGAGGACTCAAGCGAGTTTGCCTTGCAGAGTGCATAGATAACGATGGACAATACATAGTATGAGGCAATGGCGCACTGCAGCAAGACGAATATGCTTACTGACAGACAGACATCTCAGTTCTCGTTCACTGCTACTATTTTCACCTGTTATCTCTGCTGCTCATGATCGTAACCACACCAGACGAGCCCCCATACTCTAAAATCTCCGTAGAGCAACTGCTGTGAAACTTGAACTCGCGGGCGGACGTAACAGCAGAGGAGCACTCGTAGGGCTGATCCATGCGAGAATCACACAGCCTTAGGGGTTAGGAGAAACGGAAGATGAGATGCGATGAGCGGATTCCCTGAGTGTCGTGTAAGCCCAGACAGAGATCCCACCGGCGCTTAGGGGGGGAGCCGGCAGAACGAGAGCGGCCCTGGGCTTGTGGCGGCTCGAGGCAGATGGACAGACGAACAGGGTACAAATCCGGTTGATTCTTTGTGATGTTGCTTCCCTTATCCCGAGTCTATATTACGCTACTCGATTCGATGAGAGCGGCGTCATTCTGGATCTTGGGCTGTTTGGGGTTGTTGGCGTACAAGGCACGTTCCTCATTACCTCAAACCTCGAGGCCAAGATGAACCTCGACCGCCGCCAGCAAACAAGCCTTCGCTATACATGTACTCCATACAAACAGAATACATATCGTCTATTCATACCACAATTCTCAGTTTTTGTATCCTCCATCTCCGCTGCTGACGTTGCAATCGTCCCGCGCCCGGATTCACGCTCATCATGTCTCTCTTATTCCTCCCGGGTCCCGCCCTCGACTTCCCCCCCGTATTGGCCGCCTCCAGCATCCCGGTTTGAACGTGGACCCTGGAAATGTCACTTTTTGCGCGACAAGTGGGCATGATGCGCAAATGGATCAGCCTAGAGCCCTGCAGGCATGGATGTAAAATGCGAGTGTGTGTGTGAATGTACGTGAACGTGTGGTCATTTGCTGTATGTAACTCCATATAAGTTGAGTCTTGGAAATCATGCTGCTGCGTGGCTGTGGCTTGCGTCGTTGTTCAGTGAAAAAAGTTCTCGTAGGGTTTTTGATTCAGCCTCATTTGCCTTTCATCCTTTTTCCTCACTTGTTTTCTCTCGGCAAGGGAGGGGTGCGTCCTACAAAGCGCCTTCATGTATGTCCTATTCATTTACACCTCGCCGTGACGCCACGGGCGTGGGGGTTCTCACCAAATCGAGGCCTGACGGGAACCTCTTAAGTAGGGAGGAAAATGGGCTGAGGGGGGGTGGCATATACATGCAGCAACAAGCTGAGTACAAAGGATACATGAAGGTCCAAAACGCTTTGCCTTATGGTACTTTGTGCTTTGCGGGCCGAGAAGCCTTCAGAAAGCCCATCATCTCTTCTTTGCACACCCCCTTCTCAATTCACGTAGGCCAACGGAGCGCATTTGACCGGAGGTTTTCTTCTGCTCGAGTATGTTGTCTCCAACTCCAACTCTCATGAACCTCTTCTGGTAACACCGATCGCGCCGGAAAGCTGCAATCGGCCGCATCGGCACTTTCGAGGAGGGAGGAGTCGCTGAATCGATGTCACCCGTCTTATTGCCACGACCACGACATTTCGGCACAGAGTCGCTGAACTGAAGCACAGCGTAATCAAGGACAGACCCTGGGTAGGCTGGCTTCTCAATCTCGAAAAGTGAACACCCTTATCCTGGGCTTTGTTCCCTCAGCAGCCCCATCGCGTGGTGTCGTATGCGCTCTCCTCTCCCATGTTTCCACAGTCATGTTCTAGCCTTTTAACCAGGTTTCTCCCGATGTCAAGATGGGACGGGCCGGTATATGCATCCAGGGGACGGGATCATGCTGTGCAGCATCAGTTCAAGGTCGTGTCACTCATGTTTTGTCCGGGTGCTACGCCTGTCGCTGCTGCTTCACACAGCGCGCTTGGCGGCAACTCTGCTCCCCCAGCCCATGATCACGGTTCAATCTCCTCATTATGTGCTTCTCGTCCGTGTAACAGAAAGAAAGGAGCCGCCGATGAATTCTCTTCCACCGTCTCGCTAGACAGTTGGACCGAATGCCGATGGGGTGTTTCCTAACATGACGTCTTCTCCTGCGTTAGATGCGAATTCAACCTCTCAATCATCCGATATGCACAATGACACTTGCACTCTTGAAAAGCCACCCTTTTTTGCCAGAGCGGATAAAGACCATGCTGCGGACGGCGAGATATGCCCAAGTTACACCTCGTACCTGTCGTATCTTCGGGCGTCTAAGCAGTGTCTCGCCAAAGTATCATGGCCGCAGACCGGTGTATACGCGCCGTAGCAAACAACGCACACAGCTTCTAAAGCACAAGGAAAAGAGAAAAGAAAACGAAGGAGAGAGAGAGAGATAGCCGGACATGACTTGGTCGATCGCAAGGCCTCTCTCCTCGACTGCGCGCGTACAACTAACTGCATGGGGCAACGCGAGTGAGTTGTCCAGCGCTTAGGAAACAAACAAACGACCAAAAGAAGGTGCTCGATATGGGGCGGAGACGCAGTATCACCGAGAGTCTCCGTGTCGAGGAGACAACATCTCTGGCCATGGCATGGCAAGCGAGATGGCTGCCCTTTGTTTGCCTCTCTGCTCACGCTCTCTTCGCTCAGCTGCATGCTCTATACTCCGGGTGGCTTAGCAGGATGAGAGTACTTACCGTCCCAAGTAGTAGTATCAGAGCCTACTAAGAGCACAGCATGATCTGGCCAAATCCTACCCATCTTTCGATCCTTGCATCCTGGTAGATACAGTATGTTTCCGACTTACCAATCCACCTGGTATAAAAGTCTCCGAGGGAACAGAGTGTGTACGCAGTAAATAGAATATATGGAGAGAAAAACACGCAATCTGCTTGGAGCCACGGACGCCACGTTTATAGTGCCGGCAGCAAGCAATGAAGCGTAAAGCAAGAAAGTAGCATCTTCCTTGTCCAGTAGCAACCTTGTTGACGCCATTGCTCTTCGCCAGTAGGATGCAGATACGTTTCTAAAGGGACCCTCCCGCCGCCTCACTCTCGCCGTGAGCCTTTGTAGACGAACCATGTTCGGATCTCGTTCACCCAGAACGAACAGCGCATCGACAGGTCTCGGGCACGGGTACCGTAGCATCAAATAGCAACCTGACGATGTGTGATTAAGCGCCACAGCTCGAGGAGGCTCCGCTCAGAGTCATTCCTTTCGTCCCGCAGAAAGAAGAAAGGAAACGGACCAAGCGTGTATAGAACGTCGTGAATGTGAAAAGTCAGATCCTGGGCGGCCGACAACATGTCGCCTCCGCGGCGGCATCGTCACCGTGCATCCGCCAGATATTTAAAGAAAGGGTCAACCTACCCGCCCGCGGCTCTTTATTGCTGTCTGACCAGTGGTGGGCATTCGTCGCTCGCTTGCGGCTTCGGCTGATGAGACGGCTGCAGACGCCATGCTTGTACTTTTGCATCAATAGCGTGTAGTTTTGACGAGAATCACGAAACAGCCACGAGGAAGCCTCGCGCATGGCTGGTTGTGGACCGCATCTGCATGTTATGTTGCGTTAGCATATCGTATGTCAATTTACTTTGTCCCCCCTTTTTTTGGTGCCTTGCGGTGGCATAGAGTTGAGCTCGTTGGTAACTGCTGCGAGCACTGTTATGTTATTTGCTTTGTATGAAAGCAAATGCAA